ATTCATTTCAAGCCCACCGACTCCCACAGCTACCTAGAATACTCCTCCTCCCACCACCTTCCTGCAAAAATGCTATCCCCTATTCCCAATTCCTTCGCCTCCGCCGCATCTGCTGCCAGGATGAGGCATTCCACTCCCGTACATCTCAGTTGTCCTCGTTTTTCAAGGACTGTAACTTCCCCTCCTCGGTGGTCGAGAACGCCCTCAACCGTGTCTCCCACATCTCCCGCACCTCATCCCTCACACCCCGTCCATGCAATAAAAACCAAAAAAGAATCCCCCTCGTCCTCACGTACCACCCCACCAACCTCCGGATCCAACGCATCATCCTCCGACACTTCCGCCATCTGCAATCCGACCCCACCACCAAAGACATCTTTCCCTCCCCACCCTTAAATGCTTTCCGGAGGGACAACTCTCTCCGCGACTCCCTTGTCCGCTCCACACTCCCCTCCAGTTCCACCACACCCGGCACTTTTCCCTGCAACCGCAGGAAGTGCTACACCTGCCCCCATACCTCCTCCCTCAGCCCCATCCCAGGCCCCAAGAAGACTTTCCACATCAAGCAGATGTTCACCTGCACATCTGCCAATGTGGTATACTGCATCCGCTGTACCCGGTGTGGCTTCCTCTACATCGGGGAAACCAAGCGGAGACTCGGGGACCGCTTTGCAGAACACCTACGCTCGGTTCGCAACAAACAACTGCACCTCCCAGTCGCGAACCATTTCAACTCCCCCTCCCATTCCTCAGACGACATGTCCATCCTGGGCCTCCTGCAGTGCCACAACGATGCCACCCGAAGGTTGCAGGAACAGCAACTCATATTCCGCTTGGGAACCCTGCAGCCCAATGGTATCAATGTGGATTTCACAAGTTTCAAAATCTCCCCTCCCCCCACCGCATCCCAAAACCAGTCCAGCTCGTCCCTGCCTCCCTCACCTGTTCTTCCTCCCACCTATCCCCTCCTCCCACCTCAAGCCGCACCTCCATCTCCTACCGACCAACCTCATCCCGCCCCCTTGACCTGTCCGTCCTCCCTGGACTGACCTACCCCTTCCTAACTCCCTACCTACACTCACCTTTCCTGGCTCCATCCCCGCCTCTTCGACCTGTTTGTTTCCTCTCCACCTATCCTCTCCTCTATCCCTCTTCTATCCGCCTCCCACTCTCTCCCTATTTATTTCAAAACCCCCTTCCCCTCCCCCTTTTCTGATGAAGGGTCTAGGCCCGAAACGTCAGCCTCTCTGCTCCTATGATGCTGCTTGGCCTGCTGTGTTCATCCAGCCCTGCACCTTGTTGTCTCGGATTCTCCAGCATCTGCAGTTCCTACTATCTGTGCTTCATTATCTATTCAGCTCACCCTTTGCTATCCCTTTCATCTAATTCTAACCCCACCTTACCATGCACTGCTTTGAGAACAACACGCCACTCACCAGATATCTACTGAAAGGCCAGCATTTCTTCCAATTACGCCGTGATTTTGCCTCTTTTGCGTATGGGCAGTCCCCAGCTGTCCTGTACGGTTTCTGATTTTTGTCCCGGATATGGTGGATAGGGGATAAATTGACACCCTGCTGCGTGGCTAGAGATTGAGAGGTGTTGCTGGATGGGCTGGTGCAGACATGGGCTGTCCTCATCCTCCAGGACCAGCAGTGGAGGCCACAACACCAGACTGTGTGTCAGCCTGGTCTGAGGTCGCCACTGGCTCGGTGAAGTCCCAGCTGTAGGTAGGAATTCACGGCAATGTAAGATGAAGGTCAGTGAACTTCTCCACTCATCCAGCGTTACTGTTACCATCTTGTCGCCAATACCTTGTACTTGCTCTCTCTCTGCTACTTTCCCAACTTCCACTAAAGCCCATGCTCTACCATTCTCGCCATTGCCTGCAACAGTTTGCCTCACCCACTGTCACTCACCGAACCGTGGACACCACCAATCCAGTGTGCCCTCTGTGCTGACAACAACAAATTTGGTACACTGACCCCCACCCACCCCTGCACCAACAGCTGCGCCACCCACTGTCATCTTCCCTAATACTTGCCTCTCTCGAAACCAGTGGTGTGCTACTTGGCATTCAGTTCCTCACCCTTTATGAGGAGGGCATCCTGACTTTGATTGCCTCGAGCAGCTGACTGACTGTGTCCAAGCCCCGAGGATGCCATTGACATATTGCGTTGGGATCCCCTGAGTAAAGGCTTGACTGAGGCCTGCTGACAACCATGACAAACTTCCTGGCATTTTGTCTCTTTTAAATACAAAGGCAAGACAGACTAATGTGAGCTTAGCATCATTGGCTGAAGGTCCAAAACACAATAAAAGAAAACAAGGTAATGCCAAGCAGGGATGCTGTGGATATCCAGGTAGACTCAGAATGAGTGAGCACAATGACAGCAGTGAAGAGCCCTGAGATGCCAAGTGGCTCAGTGCATGAGCTGGGTGTATGTCCCTGAGTGCACAGTGTCCTTGCAGCAGTGTTACAATGAGAGTTGTTGATAGTGCCTGAGGTGCAGCATTGAAGGGAGGTGATGGTCCAGTGGTATTATCACTGGGCTGTTAATCCAGAGACTCAGATAATGTTCTGGGGACCTGGGTTCAAATCCCACCATGTCAGATGATGGAATTTGAATTCAATAAAATATGTGGAATTAAGAATCTAATGATGACCATGAATCTGTTGTTGATTGTTGTAAAAACCCATCTGGTTCACTAAAGTCCTTTAGGGAAGGAAATCTGCCATCCTTACCTGGTCTGGCCCACATGTGACTCCAGACCCACAGCAATGTGGTTGACTCTAAACTGCCCTCTGGGTCAATTGGGGCTGGGCAATAAATGCTGCCTAGCAGCAACGTCCTCATCCCATCAATGAATAAAGGAAAAAAAACAAAGTATAGTTGTGTACTGTAAGTGGATCAGAGATGGGTCATGAAGGTTCTTCAAGACAGGCCCATGTCAGATGCCAATGTCTGTGAATGTGGGGTGCATGTGGCCAGTACGCATGCAGGGTGCCCCATGTTCAATTTGGAGGTCCTTTGGAAGAAGCAGCAAGTAGATTTAGTCTGATAACAAACCTTAGTTCTCAGTCAAACTGCAGCGAGCAAAGTAGCATTAGAGTCATCCTCTCCATGGCAGCCTTAACATTATTTGAAATGTCAAAAAAGAGAACTACTTAGAGCACACACAGAGTTTAAAGGAAATTATAACAAGCAAAAAACACAAATGAAATATCAAGTACAAAATTAATCAAGGTAAAACAATTTTGAGGTGGGTTTGTAATTCTAGAAACAGCTTTTTGTAAATTTAAACACAAAGCTATATTCTTTCCATGGTCAGAAACGATGTACTTTTCTCCTGTCTTATATCAAAGTGAATCACAAAGCTACAAGTTGTAAAGATCCTCCACTTGTGCACCATGTGTAGTAATGCATTCTGTCCGAAGTTTTCTTTCTGTGTGAAATGTGTGGGCCATCAAAATAAAACTCACTTATCAAAACTATTACTGTGAAAGATGTCAATACAATTTTCAACAGTCTGGCATCAGCTTAATCATAGGTTAAAGTCTGATCCAGAATGAAATAAAATTCACTTGTCCCAACAATGTCTTTTCACCTTAGTCTTAAACAAAGCAGCCCTTTTCCACCAGAGCAAATTATTCCACTTCATGTGTTTTTTTTTGTTTGTCTCTAGAATAGATAGAAGCAGCAAAGATATACACTTCAAAATCCAATCATTACTAGGAGAGTATTTATAAATCCCAAATGGGTGAAAATCATAAAGTGTCCAGACCTGCATGCACATGACCATTATTAGCCAGCTAAGAACTGCTGGGAAAGAATTAATGTGGTTGTCTTGGTAACAATTTGTTTTCATTGGGCTACATCTGTGTGGGATTTGGCGCTGCTCACCTGAAGCTGTCTTTGAGCAGTTACAGAAACGATGATCAGCTCAGCAATTTTGAACATCTTTTGCCATTAAATCTGCCACATTCAGAAGTGTTGCACAACTCTCCCTTTGGTTGCTGAAGTTTGTCACCTTTCAGTAGATTTGGTTGTCAAAATCCACCAGCAGTAAAAGATATCCAGCCACAGTAAAATGATAGCAAAGTAATTGAGAGAAATTCTTGAATAAAGGTTTTTTTTTTAAAAAAACTCCTAGACACGCAGTCCTGAAAGAGTTAAATAGGTATTGAACATCATAGGAAATAGCTTAGAAACTAGAAGCTCTTCATACATACCAGACCAATCAATTCTTCATCATTCTTGTTAGGTGCGATATTGGGAAGAATAATTTTATTTTGTCTTTTGATGTAGCATTTTTCTCCTCCAGCGAACCATATCCCTGTTAGTCCCTAAAAAAAAAGGTAGCTTGTTCTTTATACTTTACAGATGTGCTGTGTTTGTTAAACAAAATAAAAAAAATCAAACCATCAGTGACGGTAATAGTTTCTTTTTAAATTAGCAAAACATAAACGTAGACCAATGCCTGCAGCTTCCAATGCCACACAGACCTTTCGTTCTCCAACCTGCTGTTACGGACGATGAATTTGACACAATGTTTGGCACAATTATGTGAAATATAGGAAGAATATGATAATAGTGAAAAAAAAATCATGGCATGCAACATGCTCATTCAGTGCCATTCAAACTAAAATTTTCAGTGCTCCCAGGTGACCAATGTTGGCATCTCTATCAGTATGTGGTCAGGGTAAGGATTATATGAGGTAGCACACTGCCATCGATCCTCCTTTGTCCTTGCTTTGGCTTAGGTCTATTATTGATAAGAGGATATAGAACCACAGAGTATCTACATTGCGTAAGGCTTATTGCATTTGGTCAGACATAATTGTATGGACCTTGGAGAGCCGGTACAGATATCTGTGCTCTCTCTAAAAGCTGAAATAGAATTCCTTGTCTCTCCATCCACAGACAGTGTGTAACATCAGTAGGATGTGTGGAGCCAATGTAAAATGAGCATTATTGAGTGTTTATTATTCAATAAAAATGAAACATGTTTTAATCTGCACATTTTAATGTACGAGTTAACAGTAGTACTCAGCCGGTAGATTTCCTGGGTCCTACTGGAGAGATACGAATGCTTAACTGGTGGAAAGAAAATATCATGGCTGTGCTGAGACTGTTTTTCATGCTTTTGAAAGCAGCTCAGGAGTCTCTCAACTCTGACTGCAACAAAGACTATGAATCTAGCTGTGAAGTGCAGAATGGGAGGTATGGCATGTTTGTAATTGTTTGTAGCCGGCTTCACTGAAGAAGCTCTGCAAGTGCTAGTGAGCACCGTTAGAGAAGTGGCAGCATATTTTTGCTGGTTAAGAACAGTTACCTGGACAGAAAAGAACAGAAATATCCATATCATTTGGAAGACTTGGTAGCAGGTCAGAAGAAAGATACATCATATAAAGAGAAGCAGAGCATTTAAAAGTGGGAACGCTGGCCATGCAGTCATGAGAGACAAAAATGTATAAAAACATATACACATAAAAAAATCCAGTTTATTAAGATAGAGAAATGTTGACATAATTATATCAAAGCTTCATGGATGAAAGTATTTCGGGTTGGCAAATGATATTGTAAGTGTCACGATCGGGAGAAGGGAGATATTGCAGAAGGTAATTTTCATGTGTTGAGTGTGGCACAGTTAGCACTGCTGCCCCATGGCGCCAGGGATCCAGGTTTGATTCCATCCTTGGGCAACTGTCTGTGAAGTTTGCACATTCTCCCTGTGTCTACATGGATTTCCTCTGGGTGTTCTAGTTTCCTCCCACAGTCCGAAGATGTGCAGGTTAGGCAACTTAGCCATGGGAAATGCAGGGTTACAGGGATAGGGTGGTAGTGGTGGGTCTGGGTGGAATGCTCTTCAGAGGGTCGATGTGGATTCACTGGGCTGAATGGCCTGCTTCCACACTGTAGGGATTCTAGGTTGACACGTCTCAATCCTCACAGCCTTCATTAATGGCAAACCCAATTTCCACATCATTACAAGAAACAGGGTGGGACAGGTAGTGATTGATTCCTGAGACATAAATCACGGAGCTCAAATAAAGAAGGTATTATGAGTGCAAAACAAAGTGGATGTTGGAAACCCGAAATAAAACAGAAAATGCAGCATTAGTGAAAAGAGGACTGAAGTTCATTGCAAGGAGGAATTAAAAGTCATGGTCCTGCCTCCCACCATCTCCAGAAATATTTTGAGTTTTCAAAGGGCTGGCAGGAGACAAATGAAATGGGAAGCCCACTCACTGCCAATTTATGGCCCCTTTAGACTTCTTCAGGAACTTGCTAAAGGGCCTGCCAGTCCCAGATTGAAATCTTTAAATGTTTTTTCGACAGGTCAGAATAACCTGGGTGTGCGTGTTTGTGCACAGTTGTTGGGTTCACTGTGGAGCCCTTTGGTATCGGTTTTTAAAAGTAATCCCTACCCTTCTTGTCTCTGCAAGGCCTGGGACAGTGAGTTGCACAGTGCTTAATCACCACGGCCTGTGCTCTTGCAGGACCAGGTTCATTGATCACGTAGCTGTGTACATGAAATCTGGGAACAGACAGCAAATTTGCCCCAGAAAACGCCTGGGAAAATGTAATCATGAGTTTTTTGGAATATCTGATGAGTAGCTTTTCTAATCAGTGGCTGGTTCTCTCCCATGCCTGCTGCTGGTGGTGTCACTACTGGACCTATCTTCAGCAAATGCAGGACAGAGCAGGCCTGCGATTGGGGAAACAGTCAGTATGTGGTAGCAGGGTGGGGGTCACAGGGCCCAAGCTGTGCGGGTTGGAGGGCTGAGGCGAGGATGGGGATGGGGGTGGGGGTGGGAGCTGGGAGCTGGGAGCTGAGGAAGTGGGGCTGGAGAAGCAGAGCCAGGTCTGGAGCTGGAGCTTGGAAATGGGGCCCGGCTGAAGACGCGCACATTGCAAAGCTGGGGACATGGGCTGGAGAATTAAAAAGAGCCAGGGACCACAAGTTGCCTGGCAGAATGGGAAGAGACAGAGCGGGAAGGCTACAGGTATCGGGAGGATTGGTAAGATAGAGACAGCGGGTAGGCTGTGGAGATTGAGGGGAAGAGAAAGAGAAAGGAAGGGGGCGTTGGGGGAAGAGAGAAAAAGGGGAAAGACTTCAGGGGTGGGGTGGAAGAGCTGGGTGGGGTAGGCTTCAGGACTGGAGGGCAGAAGAGAGAGAGAGAAACTTTGTGTAGGGAAGACAGAGGGGGGTTGCAGCTGTCAGTACTGTGACAGAGGCTACAAGGGTAAGGAGAAAGAGAGAGAGAGAACCTCCAGTGGGAATAGGGAGAAAGAGACAGAGGCAACAAAGGTGAGGGGGTACAGTGACGTACCAAGGATGGCTTGAGATCAGAGAGAGTAGGAGGCTAAGGTGGGGGAAGAGAAGGAGGCTGTAGGGAAAGAGGGAAAGAAAGAGAAGCTGCAGTTTGGGGAAAAAGCAAGGCTGCAGGTCAGAGAGACATAAAGGGACGCTGTAAGAAGAAGAAAAAGAATGTACCTGCAAGGGGAATGGAAGATGTAATGGGAGGGAGGCTGCAAGATGATGGAGAGAGAGAGGGACAGTCAAGCTGCAGACTGAGAGTATGTGGAGAGGGAGGCTGAAAAAGAGAATGAACAGTTCAAACTTGTCAACATAATTTATCATCTAGGATCCAGGAAACTGTAAATCATATGAGGTAATGAATTCATTGCAAGTAAATATGGAATTCCTCACTTCAGGCTAGATATGTTCATATATATTTGAAGGGGTGGTGGGGAGGAATTGTAGTGGATGCTGTTATGATGAACTTTGTGTCAATTATTAGATTAAACGATGAGATTGAGCTCTGCAGTGCAGTGGACAGAGTAGAAGCTGTCTGGTTAAAATATTTTAGCTTTGTGCATATGCAATGAAAATATATTAGCTGTGTCCTCACCAGTCCTTTGGAATTTGTGTTTAGGGCGATGGCTTTTTGTCTGTAGAAGTGCATCAGTTTTATTTTGAAAAAAAATGTTTGATGCTAAGTTATCTCTGTTACCTTGTGTCAATGTGAATACTGAGGGGTCAAACAAATTAATGATTTTGGTGTGTGCTGTGGTTTTAAATTTGATGGAGAGTTGGTAATTATTGAGGGTACTGCTATATCCTACTAAGTTTGTTTCTTTGTGAATCCAAATATCCTGTATATGAACAGAAACACAGAAGGTGCTGTTACTGTGTGACTGCATCACTTGATAAATGAATTTGTGAAATTAAACAAAAAAGCCCCTGAAAATCAAAAAGTAACCCCAAAACATAAACTCTCAAGAATAACTCAATGAGAGCCCTTGGAAACATAAAAGGCATATGTTCCCGATTATGAAAGAAAAGGTCAGTGTCAGGTGGGAATAAGGGGCCTAAAAATAGAAATAGTACTGATGCCTGTGATTTTTACCCATAGCCCTGATTTCACGGCTGATTTCCAGTTCAAGATGCAGCCAATCAACATGGTAGCAGCAGTCTGCATGCTGACTGGCACCTGCCTTTGCATTTGGTATCAGACAAATAAGTCCTGGTTCCTGGAGATGCCCAGGATAATTGTGTGCTGAGCTCATCTCCTGGTGAATTAGGCAATTTGCATTTTCATTTCAAGTTGATGACCCATTGTCGGACTGGGAGAGCAAGAACGGTGCCCAACATGATCGCAACCCCTACCTTTCTGTCCTTTAAAAAACATTGCCCCCAAACCCTTTCTCACTCTCCTCCCCAGGGTGGTCAAATCCTTCCTGCCCAACACCCCCCATGACCTCACTCAGTCTGGGATATAAGACTGCCAAGACAGCAGGCAGGATTGCAGTCAGGCACTACCAGGAGCTTCTCACCAATCGGATTGCCTCGTGGCCCTAGAAGGTGGGGCCTCCTGCCTAGCCAGTGGCCAAAGTCTCACATCCGACCTGTTCATGTTGCCCACAGCACATTAAATGCAGTGGAGTGGATTTTTTCTTTATCGATTGAACTCAGACCGACATTTTAGTCAGAGTGTGGGAGGGGAGAAAGCCAAAACCCTTTGAAATTTTCATCCCTTTTTTTAACTTGTCCCATTACGATCTCAATTTGTTTCATACCATCATTCCATTTATAGTTTAACCTCCCCACCTTCCATCCTATTACAGAGCTATCCATTTGTCCTTGGCTTGCCTAGGCCCTGCCTTGTATAAAAACATCCCTGAGAGCTCTCAGATCTAACAGTCACCAAAGAGATGCATTTCTACTTCCACTGATGATGTCTGAGCTGCTGAGCACTCCTAGCATTTTTGCTGTTTAACATTCAAGAAACTTTCATTTCAGAGGTAATTTCATGAGTTTATCTCTCTCCCCCATCAGGGAAACTCTGCTTGAAGGGTATGTGGAACAGTGATGGGGCAGCAGAATCTCAACCCAATCATCCAGTTATGATGGCTTGCTGTATAAGATTGCAGAATGTATTTTAGTCTGTCATTCCTTCACTGTGCAGGGATGAAAGTGTTTTGGTGAGCCATTGAAGCCAGTTGAAATCTCAAAGTATAACGGGACCTTGGACACATGGGCTGATGGGCCGAGAAGTGGCAGATGGAGTTTAGTTTAGATAAATGTCAGGTGTTGCATTTTGATAAGGCAAACCAGGGCAGGGCTTATACAGTTAATGGTAGGGTCTTGGGGAGTGTTGCCGAGCAAAGAGATCCAGGGGTGCAGGTGCATATTTCCTTGAAAGTGGGGTCATAGGTAGACAGGGTAGTGAAGAAGGTGTTTGGTATGCTTGCCTTCATTGGTTAGTGCATTGAGTATAGGAGTTGGGATGTCATCTTATGGCTGGACAGGACATTGGTGAAGCCACTTTTAAAATACTGCTTTCAATTCTGGTCTCCCTGCTACAGAAAAGATGTTGTTAAACTGGAAAGGGTTCAGAAAAAGTTCGACAAGGATGTTACTGGTTTTGGAGGGTTTGAGCTATCAGGAGAGACTGAATAGGCTGGGGCTATTTTCCCCAGAATGTTGGAGGCTGAGTGATGACCTTATAGAGGTTTAGAAAATCATAAGACGCATGGATAGGGTGAATTGCCAAGGTCTTTTACCCAAGGGTAGGGGAATCCAGAACTAAAGCGCACTCTCTTTTCTTTTACTTTTAAATCTCTACATTTGCAAAGCTCTTTAATGCCAGGTAAGATCTGAATGGAAAATACTTTTAGATGTTAAGAACATCTGTTTCTGAGAAGCTTAAAAAAATTCTGAGCATTGATCTATTGTTGCATGCTTCTGACATTTCACCAATTTTGATGTCTAATCACTTTTTTGCAGTTTCATAATGAAAGAAAGGGCCTTTGACTGGCATGTAATTGATGTGCCTAGCTCCAACTTTGTTACTTTTCTCTATTTAACCTGGTGTTGAATTAATAAGCAAGTGTTATTAGTCAATTATTGTAGCTGCAACTTTATAGGTCTGTGCTAGAACTTTTCATATAATCTATCCAAACTTATTTGACAAAGCCCAAAGTAGATACATAACAGATATCAGTGAAGAATTGCTGATTACTATAAAGATGAAATGGGTCACCTGGCAGCTTATATCACAAGCAGGTTGTCAATGTGAGGTTGGGAATATTTAATTGATATTCTGTTTACACCACAATATATATTTATATATTCTCTAAAATGTCTTAGTGCTGTTTGAATTCCATTTTGTAACTCACTTATACACTCAATGGCAGAGTACATCACTGCTGCTCTCCATTGAAACTGAGCATGTTATTATGTTATTTGGCAGATTCCAAAAGGAAAAAAAGACATTTTCACATGATTAAATGGATTATGATTACTTACAATAAAGTGTTTAATTCCCATATTTGTACATTAATTACCTGCTTGCTTTTACTAATGGACTGAAGACAATTGGAAGAAAGGGAAATATTAAAAAGAATTGACTCACACTTTTAAAATCATGAATTTCCACAGATTCTTCACTACCATTTCCAGTTGTGAATGTCTCAAAGCTGTTTACCGCATCAATCTTCATTAAACTTTCTTTGATGGTACCATTGATGTTTATTCGATAAAATACATCATAAACCTGAAAATCAAACATCATTTGTTTTACAATTCTAATGCCTCAATACAGTTCTAAATACTTTGTTGTTTTTAAATAATTAGTTCCTGCAATTTAATTCCAGTGAAAAGCACAAGGTTTGAACTTGTTTGTCTTGACTGGCCATTTTGTGAGACTGGACAGTGTAAACTGTCTAATGAATATACGTGTGTGTAACTGCTTTTAGAAAGGAAATTAAAAGGAAACAGAAAACTGATCTTATATTATTATTTGCCCTTGGCTAATTAGGCAGTTACCATGGCTCTCTCATTACAACCATAACGAACATTGCTATGGAGATATCATAGTCCCAAAGCATTTTAATTACTAGGACTTTGGGGGGCAATATTCTGACTTGTGTGCATGGAAGACACTTGAAAGAGTTTTTATCCTTCAACCTGGAATGCTGCAAATTCTGCCAGCAATCAGCTAAGCTACCTAAATAGATATTAGTTGAAATGGATTCATTTCTATCTTCTTCAATGATGAGAATGACCCATGTCAATGGATGTGACATCAAACTGTGATGGTAAATGCTGGAGTGTAAAGGTGGCCATATTTTGAAGAACCCCATCTGTGCATATTTTTACAAAACTGTCAATCAAGAATCCAGAAAATATTTCATTGCACCTAAACAAATCTACCAGCTGCAGAAGGGTGAAATGAAGCATTGATGACAGTCCCTTGGTGTGTTTCAAAGATTCCACGGCCTTAACTTAAACCATGACATGGATTCACATAGCACCTTCTTACACTGAAATGTTTCTAAACTCTTTACATAAGGACTTTTTGTTTTAAACAGATGGGTATAATTTTGTCATACTAAAGAAATTGCATCAACTGTATCCAGCTTTCTCTGCTAGGATAACAGCTTGGGTAATAAGTGAAAATGTTTTAAGGTGAAATATGTAGTTTGGCTTAAATTAATTGGATTTGCCTTGATAACTGCTTCAATTTAGTTTTTTTTTCTCCCACTGACATAAAAGATTTACTGCCATATGAAGCATGCACTGGATTGATTTTCATGTGATGGCAAATGACTACTAAAATTAACCACTTGAAATATTATCTTTATCATCCCTCTGAAAATTTGTTCAGAGATGATCAAAACAATTATTCTAAACACACACCTGCATCAATCAGAAGTAACACTTTCATCGCCTCAAATCTGCAAAATTTTGAGCAACACTCACCTCTAAATTCATAGAATCATGGAATCTTAGTGCACAGGAGACCATTCAGCTCTGTGTTGCTCTCCCAGTTCTTTCTAGCTGCTAGTCTCCCTTCTCTGCCCTGTAACCATAGTTCTGCAATTTTCTCTCCTTGTATTATACACTTATCCAGTCTGCTATTATTGAATCTTCTTCCACCAACCTTTTAAGGCAGTGAAATCTAGAACATGATAACGAACTTTAAAAAGTATTCTCCTTATCTTCCCTCTGCTTGTTGTCTCCTGCTTAATGACTTTCCTGCCAGTGGGAACAAGTTTTCCTTATTTACTCTTAACAAAATTCTTCATGAATTGGAGTGGCTGTATAAATCTCCCCTTTCATCTTTTGCGTCCCAAGAGGAACAATCCAGCTTCTCTAGTCTTTCTTTGTAACTCAGATACTTCAATACCTTTCCAATAAATCTTCCCTCTACACGTTCTAACTCCTTGCTACCTTTCATGAAGTGTGGTGTCCAAGATTAAACTTGAGAGGACGCAGAAAAGATTTACAAGGACGATACCGGGGATGGAAGGTTTGAGCTATAGGGAGAGGCTGAATAAGCTGGGGCTATTTTCCCTAGAGTATTGAGACGTGACCTTGTGGAGGTTAATAAAATCATGAGGGGCATGGATAGGGTGAATGGTCAATGTCTTTTCCCAAGAAGTAGGGGAGTCAAAAACTATACGGCATAGGTATAAGATGAGAGGGGAAAGAAAGATGAAGAAGGACCTAAGGGACAACTTTTTCATGCAGAGGATGGTGCGTGTATGGAATGAACTGCCAGAGGAAGTGGTAGAGGTGGGTACAACTGCAACATTTAAAATACATCTGGATGGGTAACATAAATAGGAAGGGTTTAGCAGAACACGTGCCAAACACCAGCAAATGGGATTAGATTAATTTAGGATATCTGGTTGGCATGGATGAGTTGGACTGAAGGGTCTGTTTCCGTGCTGTACAGCTCTATGACTCTATGACTGGAAACTACAGGTTTAGCACCACTGGCTTGGTTCGTATATAAGGGGCTGATCTTTTAAATGCCTGAGATCAGGCCAGGGAAGGATGCACTTGAAGTAACACTGGGCCATATGCTGGTCATTTACCACAGCATTTTGTGGCCAGTGGCTCTGGAAGGTAGTGTGCTTTGATAATTCTAAGGCTTATTAAAAACCCTCAGCAGAAACAGACTGGAATTTTGCAGTGTGTTCACAGGTGCCTCCTCTCCACTGAGTCTGAAATACAGTCAAGGCTAACGGTGGTCCCCTAGTGGCAGGCTGGAGCAGAGGAAGGGCGAGAGCCCAGTGCTTCATCCCACTAGGAATCCTTTCCCTAACAGCTGCTGTGGCCCCTCAGTGCAGGAATTGCTCCTCCGTGAGCATGGCATATTAGAGCTGTCGATGGTAAATAAAGAAACATCAAAGCATTTGTTTGAGAACTCTCTCTTTCTCTTTCACTTATTGCAAACTGTGGGACAGCCGAAATGTCATCGAGGATCTCCTGTTGGACCTTGAGTGAGCTGGGTAGCTATCCTGAATTGGATGGTCAGCACACATTCTGGCTATTAATTGGCCTCCAGTTTAAAGGTGCCCAATGCGACACAGGGTGGGAATTTGGTAATTCACCCGATATCAGGTGCTGACCCCAGGACAAAAATCCAGCCCTACGCTTCTTTTTATAAAGACAAGAAAACCATAGGCTTTTCACTTTAAACTCACTTTCTAAACCTTCAATGATTTCTGTGCTTAAATCTCCAGACCTCACTATTGCCACATCCCTTGCCAGTTTTAAAATTATGCAACTTAAAATTTATATTCCATATTGTATCGCTTCACATTTCTTTGCATGAAATTTCATCCATGACCTGTGTCTGCTTATTTCAGCAATCAGGTTATGACCTCCTGAGGTCTGAAACTACCCACCTCAATCTTTACAACTTGTGGGTTTTAGGCCAATGGCAAATTTGGAAATTATGCTCTGCCTGTCCAAGTCCAGATTATTAATGTGCTCCAAAAAGACAGCAGTACTCGTTTGGGACATCACTGTGTACTCCCTTCCATTCTGAATAAGTTTGTTGTATCACTACGCTCTACTTTCAGTCCCATAACCAATTTTGTATCCACCCTGACTCTGGCCTCCCATGAGCTTTAATTTTGTTAGCAAGTCTATTATATAGTACTTTATCAAATGTTTTTGAAAGCCTGTGAATGCATCAACAGCCACTATCCTCATCTACAAGCTCTGTTACTTAATCTTGTTTTCACTTGATCTCATTCTTTAAAAGCCAATACAGTATTAATAAGAGTCCCCAGTAGTCATCACAAAGGCTGTTAAAAATGCTGCCCAGTATTTGGTTCATAATAATTTTCACTTTATTTGAGATACTACCAACTTCAATATTATAAGACTCTTACAATGGAAGGACAGTAAGCCACTTAGATTGTGCAAACTCACTCTTTTATTTTACTTTGTGTGCTTCTGTTAAGACTGCATTTGAACAAGTGCCAAGCAAATATCACAGAAGCTGAGTAATGTGAATACTGGAAAACAGAAGCTAGAACGGAAAATGCTGGGAAATAATCAGCCAGTCTGAAAGCATATTCGCAGAGAGAAACAGAGTTAACGGCCAAACAAGATTTTACCAGCCCCTGGGAAGTAGAGTATGGGTGGAGGTGTGGAGAGGGGATGAGGTGGGTGAGAGTGGCGAGAGGAATTTGGTACCATTGTGGGGAAAGTTGTGACAGGCGGCTGTCCGAGTCAGTCCCACCACTGAGACATTTCACAGATAGCTGGACTAAGAAGAGACAGGCCACCTGCACTACGAAACTGGCAGCAAATGTTCATAATTGAAGGCCCAATTAATGACCATGACTCAATGGGGAGGTAGCCAGTTAAACGGAGGTAGCCTGAATTCGCAGCCCAATGAGGGCAAAGGCTGAATGAGGGGGCACACAGGCAGCCAAAGCAACCCCTGCCACCCCAGTGATTTTCCCAGAGGGAAAATTTTCTGACAATGGGTCTCGTGTTGTTTTTAAACTGTTATTTTGTTCCTTACCATCTCACCTGCCAAGATCTCTCGCATAGCTCAGCAGCAACCACCTCTCTCAGATGAGGCTTCTAAGCTGCCGGCTGTCTGACTGGGCCATAAACATCAGAAGTTGACTAGCTATCCTGAATTATTTTCTAATCAACATTCAGAGATGTGACGGCACACCCCCATACGATAGAGATAGTGTCCCATGACCCCTTACTGCCATCACAAGTTTGGTGATAGCCCACACGTAGTCAATTGAAGAGGTGTCTGCTGTAAAAAAAGCTGTGTTGATCTCACTGTCACAAACATGAGCTCAGGACTTGCTTTACATTGAGATGCTGGATCCCTTTATAAAATTCAGCTCAAAGTTTCAGGTCAATAGATTTTCCTAAAATGGTATAATATCGTTTCAGCGGATCGGTGGAAAAGGGAGCAAAATGATCATCCCTTACCTTGAAGACATATCGTCAGCTATGTATTTTGACACATAGATTTTTTAAAAAATTATCTCGCTGAGCTTTAACACTGAGAATGCATTGTTTCATCCATCCTGAATTCATGCCCTCTGTCAATTCCTAGGAATTAGAGATTACTTTCCCACAGGTTTTCAAGCCACCAATGGTGTTGAACCTTGGGACCCAGTTGGATCAATTCATTCTGGAAGCAAATATAACTTTTCAAAACCCACAGGAAATTACTTTTTTGAACCAAGCGCCCATATTACTTCAGTGTTTGCTGAAAAC